TCCCCCTCCCCCCTCAGGGTCCTGCCCCTTCAGGTGTGTCCCAGGTAGACGCGGTCGAGCCTGTCGAGGTCACTGGTGACTCTGGTGCTGCTGCGGGAGCTGAGCCTGGGGGTGCGGAGTCTGGGGGTGCTGAGCCTGGGGGTGCTGAGCCTGGGGGTGCTGAGCCTGGGGGTGCTGTGCCTAGGGGTGCTGAGCCTGGGGGTGCTGCGTCTGGGGGTGCTGAGCCTGGAGGTGCCGAGCCTGGGGGTGCTGTGCCTGGGGGTGCTGAGCCTGGGGGTGCTGTGCCTGGGGGTGCTTCGTCTCGCCGGGAGCCACTCTCCCCGCAGGAGCTGCGTGAGTGGTTTGCCAGGCGCTGGAGGTGTGCTGCTGGTGCTGGTGGTTCTTCGGCTGCAGAGGGTACTGCTGCTTCGCGTCCCGCCGGTGCTCGTACTGTGGGTGCTGGAGCTGCTGGGTCTGAGAGTTCTCCTGGAGCTGGTGCTACTGAGGGTGTTGGCGCTGAGCCTGCCGTTGGCGGTCCGACTGACAGTGCTCCTGGTGCTGCTGCTGGAGGTTCTGGAGCTTCTGGTGGTGCTGCTGGAGGTGCTGCTGGAGTGGGTACTCCTGCCGGGGCTGCTGGTACTGTTCCTGCTGTTTCTGGTGTCGCCGCGCGGCCCCGACCTTACTTCGTTCCGCTCTTGCAGCAGGTTCTTGGTCTTCCGCCTCCTCCTCCTCCTCCCTTAGAGGGTCCGCAGCCTGTCCGGTCACAGCCACAGCTACAGCCTGCCTCCCCTTTGCCTGCTCCGTCTCCCTACACTGGTCCGACTGGAGGTCTTACTGAGCGTCGTGAGCCTGCGTCTCGTCCTGTGTCGCCTGTTCGTACTGAGCGCGCTAGTGGTCGCGGGTCGCGTCAGCGTCCTCCTCCTGTCCCTGGCACGCACCGGATGTCACTGCGTCCGTCCACTGCTCCTCTGCGTGCCCCTTTGCCTTCTCCTCCTGCTTCCTCTCTTCCTGCTCTTGCCGACCCGGAGTCGGACTCCCTTCGTGCTGCCAGTCCTACTGTCACGCGTCTCCTTGCTACAGCTGTCACTGACCCTTCCTTCGAGTCGTCTGCTGCGTCTGCCCTTGTCACTGAGCTTGTCGACTTTGCTGCGCGCTGTCGTCTAGACTACGCTGCCCGTCTTGTCACTGAGTCTGAGTCCGCCTGTCCTCCGTCCGTCGGGGGTGAGTGTGCCCTTGGCACGGACGTCCTTGAGGACAGGCAGGAGGAGTTCCAGTGTCTGGCCGCCGCTTCACCTCGTCTCGCGTCTGTACTGCTAGCCCCTGAGGGAGACCCGGATGCACCAGACATCCCGACTCCGCGCTCTTACGCGGAGGCGATAGAGGGTCCCTACTCCTCTCAGTGGCAGGCAGCTATGGATGCAGAGATGGCTTCCTGGAAGTCCACAGGCACCTACGTTGACGCTGTTCCCCCCCCTGGGGCGAACATCGTCAGTGGCATGTGGATTTTCAGGGTGAAGCGGCCGCCGGGTTCTCCGCCTGTCTTCAAGGCGCGTTACGTGGCTCGTGGCTTCAGTCAGCGGCAGGGGGTTGACTACTTTCAGACCTTCCCCCCACCCCGAAGATGACCACTCTTCGGGTCCTGCTGCACGTTGCTGCTCACCGTGACTACGAGCTGCACTCTCTCGACTTCAGCACAGCTTTCTTGCAGGGCAGCCTGCACGAGGAGATCTGGCTGCGTCGCCCACCTGGCTTCACTGGGTCTTTCCCTCCTGGTACCCAGTGGAGTCTCCGGCGTCCAGTCTACGGTCTCCGCCAGGCGCCACGTGAGTGGCACGACACACTGAGGACTACGCTCGCGGCACTTGGGTTTGCTCCTTCTACTGCCGACCCGTCGCTGTTTTCTGCGCACCGACACCTCTCTGCCGCCGTTCTACATCCTCGTGTACGTCGACGACTTGGTCTTTGCCACAGCTGACACTGCTGGACTCGCCTACGTGAAGTCCGAGCTGCAGAAGAGACACACGTGCACTGACCTGGGTGAACTGCGCAGCTATCTTGGCTTGCAGATCACCCGGGACAGAGCACGCCGCACCATTACCCTGACTCAGTCACACATGGTGCAGCAGGTCCTTCAGCGCTTCGGCTTCACGTACTCCTCGCCTCAGGCCACTCCTCTGCCTACTCGCCACTCGCTCTCAGCTCTGCCTTCGGATGAGTCCGTAGAGTCGAGTGGCCCGTATGCAGAGCTTGTTGGCTGCCTCATGTACCTGATGACCTGCACACGACCTGACCTTGCATACCCTCTTAGCATTCTCGCACGCTATGTTGCTCCTGGGAGACACCGACCAGAGCACATGGCTGCAGCGAAGAGGGTGTTGCGCTACTTGTGCAGTACGTCGGGCATGGGGCTAGTGCTTGGAGGGCGCAGTCCAGTGGTCCTCACTGGGCACGCGGACGCTTCTTGGGCTGACGACCAGGCTACGCAGCGGTCGTCACAGGGTTACACCTTCAGCCTTGGTTCCGGCTCTGTTTCGTGGCGGGCTACCCGCTCGTCTTCTGTTCTCGGCTCCAGTTGTGAGGCTGAGATCTACGCCGGGGCTATGGCTGCACAGGAGTTACGCTGGCTCACCTACCTGTTGACCGACCTTGGAGAGCAGCCTCGTTCTCCTCCAGTCCTGTACGTAGACAACAAGGCCATGCTGGCCTTGTGTCGAGAGCAGAGACTGGAGCACAGAACGAAGCACATTGCTCTCCGCTACTTTCTTGCTCGTGAGCTACAGCAGCGTGGACAGTTGCGACTTGCGTACGTGGCCTCTGAGGCCAACACTGCTGATGTCTTCACCAAGGCACTTGCGCCTTGTGATCATCAGCGTTGTTGCACGTAGTTGGGTCTTGTGCCTGTCTTGCCTCACTTGCTCTCCTCTTGACCTTGCTTGTACCTTCGCCTATATATACTCTTGCTCTTGCTTACTTGACTCTTGTATATCTCTATATATGATCTTGCATGTGAACTGGCCATGTGGCCTTGAACTTGTGCTCGGAATGTGTGGTGACTTTGTGATCCACCCTGAGCTTTGCTTTGCTTTGCTTGACTGGTCTTGTGACCCCTTGTTCTCCCCCCTTTTGCCTATGGGGGTGTGTCAGAACTATATAGCTTATACTATTGTGTAGGCTATAGTGGGGTATCCCATAGGGGGTACAACCCAATTAGGGTTTCCTATTTGTACTCACTTCTTTCATAGTCATTCCATTCTCGTTCTCTCTTTCACATCCTCCTCCGTCCTCCTTACTCTTTCCTTCTCAGTCATAGGGCTCTTCATGCTGCAGGGTGGCTGCCTTGGTTCAGCTTTCTTGCTTTTCCTTTTTTTTTTTTTTTTTTTTACAATCAGAAGATAATTTTTATTACTTGCCTCCACACATGGGTACATGACACGTACTTCCCCCATATCCGCCCTTCCGGCTAGGAATTTCTACAGCCTTCAGCCCCTAATGCTAGCTACCAACTACGCACCCCCGGTGCTCCCACCTACGCCCCCCGGCATAGTGGCAAGGGGTGCCGCCCCGTGTGCCTCCTCACACCACGGGTGAGGGGCCTTGAGCGCCTCGCCCTCCCATGGGGCAAGCATTCGCCATATGGCCGGGCTGGCCGCAGCGGAAGCACACCCCTTTGAAGCGGGGTTCGTGGCAGCTTGCGGGCGGCATGCCCTTGCCTTCCGTGTCGCCATCTCGGGTGGGCATGCGGTTGCCGCGAGTGTAGCCGGCCCGTGCGCGTTTGAGAGCCGCCACATCGGCGACGGCGAGCTTGTACGAGCGTGAGGTCAAAACGCTCTTGGACTGGTACAGCTGAAAACGATCGGCAGCTTCGAACCCTGCCTCGTCCGCCACCAATAGGACTTCGAAGCGCTTGTGGATGAGCGTCTCGATTTCCGCGACGTTGGTGAGGGCGCTTTCTATGTCGCCGTGCTGGAGATTGAAATTGACGTGCTTCAGGTGCACCTGGATGGCAGAAAAGACCTCCGCTTGATCGCGCACACCTTTGCGCATGAAGGTGGTGGATGCGGGTGTGGGGTGGAGGGGTGGGAGGGAGGGTGCGGGTGCAATAATACGACGGCGGATAATGTTGTTGGGGGCTCACCATCTTCGTTCTCTGAGTCGTCGCTGTCATCTTGAGCGGCGATCGGCGCAGATGCGGGCGCGGGAAGTGGTGCGGCAGTGGTCTCGTTGACGCGGGCCGCCTTGTTGGCGCGAGGGGCGGTGACTTCCTTCTGATTCTCATTTTTTGCAGGGGTTGAAATGTAGTCGGATGAAGTTGCGATTGTCACCGGCGCTGTAAGGAATTAGATTTCCTTACTGTAGTCAGTTATTAGCGAGTACATCCCGAAGGTCACACGACGAACTTGTTCGGCCTATTTCGTCGGCTGAACCACTCCCGAGTCAGCCTCCGCTCCAATCGCATCCATCACCGAGCCATCCTCGCCCAACCTCCCCGCCTTGCTAGGACTTCCCCTATTTAGGCCTCATCACTTCCATTGTATCGTCATTCAGTAATTCGGTAGTTCAACATTCTCGTTATTCGATTTACTGCGCACTCTGCAAGTTCATTCATAACAGGCGCATTCTGTTGTAACATCGAGAGCAACGCCTGCATTTGCTGCGCAGTGAGGGACGCGAGGGGGTTGACTGGGGTGGTTTCTGCTGAGGCCGCTGCTTTCTGCCGCTTCTGCAGAGTGGGCCCCGGCTGACCAGCGTCGCCGTCCGTGTCAGCCCCTGTTGACTTGACCGGACCGCGCGGCTGGCTGGCAGCCACGCGCTCGTCAGCAGGGGGCACGCGCGACTGATTTACAGTTGCGCGTGCTTCTTCAGAGGGGGCTCGGGAGTTGCTCCCGAGCAGAACTTCGACTCCTGAGGGGCCCTCACCGAAATTGTCCTCAGCAGGGCGTTTTCCGCGGCGGTCGGGTGCCCCGGGCACGTTCGCGTGCTCCGAAGTATTACCCGGGGTAGTCGTCTTTTCCGCCTCTCGATTAGGGAGGAGAGGTGGTGACGAAGGAGAGGAGGTGAGGGAGGAGACAGAGGGTTGGGAGGGGAGGGAGGATGAAGGCCGAATGAGAGAAAGGGGGATGAGAGGATGGCCGAATGAGAGAAAGGGGGATGAGAGGATGGCCGAATGAGAGGATGGGCGGATGAGAGGATGGGCGGATGAGAGGATGGGCGGATGAGAGGATGGCCGTTTGAGAGGATAGGCGAATGAGAGGAAGGGTGGAACGGAGGAGCAGGGTTGGCGTGAGGAAGGGAGTGGACGAGTGGGAAATGGAAAGGGAAAGGGGGACTCGATCGAGGGAGGATGAGGAGAGCGAGAATGGCAGGAAGGGAGGGCGGGAGGAAGGGAGGGAGAACGGGCAACAGAAAGGGGAAAGAGGGTAGTGAGGCAGAGAGTGTGGGATAGATGGAGGAAGGGAGGAAGAGAGAGGGAGAGGAGGACGACTGTGGGGGCCCCACAAAACGGAGGAAGGGAGGAGTGCAGGAGGTAAGAGTGTGGCAGGGTATAAGGGGGATAGGAGGATCCCTGCACCCTCTCTCCCTAACCCCCGCCTCCCCCGCTCCGCCTCCCCTAACCCGCCCCCTGCAGCACTGCACTCCTTGCTGCCCGCTTGCACGCGCTGCCCTGGCTGTGCGCCCAACACTCCTCTCCAAAGCCGCACCACCACCTGCCATGGGCGAAGGTGGGGGAAAGCGTGGGCGACGGTGGGGGAAAGCGTGGGCGACGGTGGGGGGAAGCGTGGGCGACGGTGGGAGGAAGCGTGGGCGACGGTGGGAGGAAGCGAGGGCGACGGTGGGAGGAAGCGTGGGCGACGGTGGGAGCAAGCGTGGGCGACGGAGGGAGGAAGCGTGGGCGACAGGGGGAAAGCGTGGACGGCGGTGAAGGTGGGTGACGGGAGGGGTAGTGTGGGCAACGACGGAGTGAAGTGTGAGCGACAGCGGGAGGAAGCGTTGGCGACGGTGGGGGGAAGCGTGACGGACGGTGGGGGGAAGCGTGGGGGAAGCAGAAGGCGATACAATCAAACACGATATCGGCAGTAGGACGAAGCCAGGGCGACCGAGTGGGCAACCCTCTGAGGAGAGTGGGGAGTGGTGGGGAGACAACTGAGAAAGAGTGCGATCGAAGACGTAAAAGTAGCGACGTAATGGGGCACGGCGACGTCGACGAGGGGAAGCGTGGGTGGCAGGGTGTGACGTCGACGAGGATGCGCGGGAGGGGAATAGAGCTGAGGCAAACATAGGGCGAATGCGCGGGAAATGACAGCGATCGACTGTAGTATGATTATTAGCATCGACCTTGGAGACGAGATGCATACTACCTAGGAGTGGGCTCCAGCTCTATTGGCTTTCTGTTCTACCTAGGAGTTTCTCGTGCATACTATGTGGTCGAGCTTGACCTGAATTACAACAATTTCCAAACTGTGCACAGCTTGCCCTACTCATTTCAGGAGGGAACGGTTGGGACTCTCGCCAACCAAACCTCCGCTGCTCTACGACTCCCTGGTTTTTGGTGGGGCGTCATTTGGTAACCAGAGAGGCTCGGAAAGTCAACAGTGGGCTCGGAAGGCAAACTGTGCACAGTTTGCCTTCCTTTCTTTGTAATTCAGGTCTTGGGCTTTAATTACCATGACGAACTAGAAATAATTTCATTCAAATAAGGGTACATTCCGCTGTGGACCATGTCCCAATCGATGTGTCCCAATTGTTTCTACCGCACTGCATCGTATTACACCAAATTGCACCCTAGTTTCGAATTTTTTGCGTCTCTGGTTTAGTTCGGTTCGGAGCGGTACACTCGATTGGGACAGTGTCCACAGCGGAATGTACCCTAAGCCAACAACATGACGGACCTGATCTGATGCTCCAGTGACGCAAACTAGCACCACAGAATGACGAGCAATCCTTGCTGCTTCCGATGCATGCTTCTCCAATGCATGCGCCATTGCTTTCTTTCATAGAGTTTGCTGTGGAACCAGCGTCTTCAAGCTTGCGGAAAGGCCCAACCCCAATCCCAACCAAACCCAAAGCTCACTTTCCAGTCAAACTCAGCGCACTTCTCGCAACAGTTGAGATTTTACCAACCATCGTCCCACACGTGTTCAACTCACCACCATCAAGTTCGCGGCATGAGCTTAGCAGGAATTCTCAAAATCATAGCCCACAGTAAGAATATTTTACTGCAAATATCCAAATCCACAGGAAAAAACAAAATGACACACAGATAGTATAACATGTTCCTAAAACTGAAAAAGTCGGTAATACAAGTAATGAGGCCATGGTGATGCGGCTGCTGCTGTTGTCAATGCTGACACTACACATGAAAGTGCACATGGACAAGTCATGGCACAGTGCTCATGTAGCAGTGGCAGCATAGGACCGCAACAGCAGCAGCAGCAGCAGCAACAGGCAAGCTACAAGTCTCCACCACATTTCCATCCAACATTTGGGGCTGATCACGCATGATGCAGAATTGCACCACATTCCCAAAGTTTCATGCATACCCCCCTCCCCTCCCCTCCCTTCCAGCTCCCCTTCCCACCACCCAACAGTCTGTGCCTTGTTCCTGCTTTAGCAGGCTCAACACTGTCTCCACTGAGATAGTGAAAACGTTAACCAAGGTGTCCAGCTGCAGTGCGTGCAGCACAGCCCGTACCAGTGAATCCATGGCTGCCTGGCATGGATTGTGCTGCTCCATATCACAACAGCTACCCCATCACTGGACCACCTGTCCCGATATTACTCCACTGTATCACACACTAGGGAGCCCCTTTGGTTCCGCGCCCTAGAGGATCTCCTTTCCCGTTCCCCAATCAATGCACCCATGTGTAAGGCATGGTGCTTAAGGGGAACCGCACTTGCAGTTAACGTACTGCTCCTGAACGTTACGGTTCCATGCTCCCCCCCTCTCCCCCCACCCTCCAAAACCCCCACTCAGTCAAGGCCATCCCCTTGCCCTAATCCAGACGTCCGCCCTGAACACAGTGCACTGCTGCGACTGGCTGCTGCTCCCTATTGCTGCTTCAGGCTTCTGAGTCTGACCAGTAGGAGGAACGTGATGAAGCGAATCAGCAGCCCGAAACCTAACAGCACCAGCAGGTTCAGCCACATATTCAGGTCAGGTTGCCCCACCAATGTCGTCATCAGCTGCTGCCCGTCCTGTAGGCAAGTCCCTGCCGAGATGTTACTGTATGGCGTACCCGCCAAAAGCGATCTCATTCCCAGAAAAGCTTTGTTCATCGTTGTCGCGTTAACGTAAGGCTGCAGCGGGGTGTTATCGAACATGCTTCCGGCGGCTATGTAGCAGGGTCCGCCGTGGGTGAATTCGCTCTGGATAAGTGCCTCGTACGCGTATTTCATAGGCGAAAGGTAGTGTAGCCAGATCCAGTAGTTGGGGATGCTGTATTTGGGAATGTAGAAGCCGCTAACGAGGGCGAAGTAGGCCATAAGCGCGATTCCAGCGGCGTAGGCGAGAACAACGCTGTTTAGGGAGGTGATGAGGACGACGAAGGGGGCATGGAACGGGTTAGGAAGTATACGAGGCGACGAGTTGCGAGGGGACTAGAATGCGGCGACAGCAGCAGAAAGAACAATGCACATGTTGGTACCGGATGATGGGAACTGATAGCGGAAAGAAAGAGGGAAATGGCAAGGCGAAAGGAGAAGGAAACTTACTGGTCCACGACGACGCTGATGGCGATGGCGAATGAGCTGGCCGAGAAGAGGATAAGGAAGCACGTCAGCAGCATGAAGAAGAATCCCGCAGCGCCGCCCGTGAGGTTGATCGCCCACCAGTTCTCGAGCACGAAGATCGACGCCATGGCGAGCTGCAGCGGCAGGTACACGAGCGTCGTCGCAACGAGGTACGTGGAGGGGCGGTACGCGTTGCGCGTGGTTTCGCGGATGAAGATGTTCCGCTCCTCGATGAAGATGGGTACGGCGTCCAGACAGCAGAAGAAGAGCACGCAGATGGAGAAGGAGAAGAACGCCAGTCGCTCCTGGAAACCCGACAAGCTGAGGATGGGGAGAGATGAGGGTACAAAGAAATAGGGAGAGAAGGGAGGATGAGGAACGATTGGGGTAGAAAGACGAAGGGAACATGGAAATTCGTGTGTGAAAAAACGTGGAAGAAAAAACCGATATAATGGAGCCTCGGAATAACGGCTGAAACACTACGAGCGGAAATACGAGAAACATGATTTCCAGTCCCACTCGACTCGCTCGCCTATCACATGATTTCGTAAAAAAAAAGGTCTACACCGTGCTCCGACGAATCGAACGCAGGCACGTGGAAAAAGCGGGGTGGGGGGGTGGGGGGGAAATCGCCCGCAAACCGCGTTTTGACCAGCAAAAGAACGTGAGTGCTCAAATAGTGGGCTTACCTCGTGTCGGGGTCGAAATAGAGCGTCGCGAGCATGACGCCCGTCACGGCCACCAGCGCGAGGCGCAGGAGGTAGAGAGCCGGCGTGCGCCATAGATTCAGCGCCGCACGTTTCGTCAGAACCATCAGCTCGCCCATCCACCCGTTGGCGTACCGCCGAGTGTCCGCCACCGCGCCCTTGTCCTCCAATTTCTCCCCGATTATGGCCTTCTGCGCGGTGATCGCGGCGGCGGATGCGGCGGCAACTACGGCGGCATCGACGGCGGGATTTGCGCAACCGTCGATCTGCACGGCGACAGCGCCATCGGCGGCATCAGCGCGGCAGGAGTTCGACTCCATAGTGGAATGAGGGGCAGGAAGAGCAGCGACGTTCTCAGCGACGCCCGTTTTCGTGAGCGACGACTGAAGGGTGTCCTGCGATATGTGTGACAACTGCTGGTACGACGCGGCGTATGCGACGAGATCCGCGATCCCACGCTCCGACCGCTGATAATCCTCGATAAGATCTAAGGCGAACTCTGTGCTGTTAGCGAACTGCGGCACGGGACAGCCGAACGACGCGAGGAACGTGGGAAGCTGCAGAGGGGGTCCGTGGAAAATAGTATGCCCCGACGCAAGGAGCACCAGACGGTCGATTAAAGACAGCACGCGGAAACTAGGCTGATGCAGCACCATAATGGCGATGCTCCCAGTCTGCACGGCGATGTCTTTAATCGCCCGCACGACGCGGTACGCGCTGGTGGAGTCTAGACCGGACGTGGGCTCGTCGAGGAAGAGGATCCGCGGATCGCTCACCATCTCCACTCCGATCGCCACGCGCTTGCGCTCACCGCCGGACACGCCGCTGCGGGGGAGAAAGCGGAGGGGGATACGAGAGTAGGAAATGCGATGAGCGAGGGGACATTGACGAGAAGGCAACTGGCGGTGATGCGCAGAATGAGCATGTCATACGATAATGGCGAGATGAGAGTTACCGAGATACATCGAGAGACAGAAAGAAATGGGTTCCCGCGGGAGGGGGGAGAGAAATGAGAAATAACAACGGGCCGAGAGAGTGAGAAAGGATTCACGTCTTACCGTTGGCTTTCGTTTCCGATGAGCGAATCGGCCACCTTGGTGAGACCCAGCAGCTCCAATAGGCTCTCCACCTTCCGCTCCTTCTCCTCCCGCGTCACTCCGTTCGCCGCGAGCCGCAACTCTGCGGCGAACATGAGCGTCTCGCGCACCGTGAGCGCAGGAAACATGAGGTCGTCCTGCATCACGTAAGCCGACATGCGCCGCATTGTACTCCCGCGAACCACGGCGCCGTCCAGCTCCACCGAGCCCGACCGCCGCTCCTTCGCAATGCGGTGCGCGAGGATGTTAAGGAGCGTCGTCTTGCCCGACCCGCTCGCGCCCATGATGGCCGTGACCTCGCCGGATCTCGCGGAGCCGTTGATATCGGCGAGAATCGTACGGCTGTAATGCTTCTTCATCGCCAGCTGCCGAGAAACGGAGCTCATTCTGCTGCTCGCTCGGCTAATGCTACTACCGTTGCTCCCGCACCTCCCGCCGCTTCCGCTTAGGGAAACGCTTCGGCTGCTGGCGGCAGCACTACCACCAGCCCCGGCGTCGCTCCCGCGCTTGCTGCGCGTAGAGACGGTGTACGACACGTGGCGAAAGCTGAGCTCCATGGTCCTGGAGTAGAGAGGTTTCTTGAGCACCCCCTCTTCGGACTCGTCTATCGAACCGCAGTCGATCTCAACTTGATCGGATTCTGACTCGGTTGATGATGAGCAGGACGACGACGAGGAAGAAACCGAGGCAGACACGCGATCCGGCGAGGACTCTTCGGAGTAGCGCATTTGGTAGGAGATGGTGA